TTATCTGGTTAGTTCCCTGCACTCATATAGTGAGGAAATGGCAGATTGAGGAACTGAGCTCTATATTCTCAGCTCCCTGCACAGCACTAATAGGAAAGCATCCCATTTTTCATATTACCCAAACTGGCTGATGAGACATTTGTGGTTCACCTCTCAGAACGTAACTCTAGTGACAAAAATAATAACTGGTAATTAGCCAGGACTTCCAGAAACACACCTAGCTGGTGAATAATTGCTGGGAAACACAAGTGTGATATGAAGGCAAATTAATTTGCAGGCAGAGGGTCAGGATGGTATTGTAGCTGGGCAAATGGAAAGGGACCTGAGCCCATTGTCACCAAATGGCTGTTGGTTTAACTGGAGATTAGCTGGGGGCTCTAAACCATCAATTACTTAAATATCAGATTTGCTAACTTATAGCATTTAACCTTTTTATTGTAGTCAGCATTTATAAATTATTTTCTCTCCCCACAATTTGCAGATGGCACAAACTACTGATCAGATCCAGAGAAATCTGAGAAACACCAAGGGGGCTCAACCACCTGTGGTGAATGGGGCAGATGAATGACTTGCACAAGGCAAACTGATAAGTGGCTGAAACTGAGACAGTTCAGATCAGTGCTTGGGACTAGATACACTGAAATGTCTCATGAGAAAGGTCTAGCTTCAATTTTGGTTTCTATATCTTAAAATCAAAACAGCAGCAATCCCCCTAACTTAATGCACACACAAAAGAAATCATATTGGATGAATATGTAGGGTGTAGTAATTTCACCCTTGTGGTGCTGTAGCCACCTGCAAAACAGAATAGTCTCATTATGCCAATACAGCAAAAGTGGAAGGACTTTGGAGATCTGCAATAAAAATAGATTTATGGACAATAGCTGTGTGAGAAGATTGTTCAGGACTGCTAAGTATCAGAAGATCCATAAACAGAGGTGGTTTAGATATTTGAAATAATGAACAGTACAAGATGAAATAATTAAATGTTCCTGTTCTTTATCATAACACAAAATCAAAGGAATAGTCAATCGAAATGACCAAAATATAATATTTAAGGTTTCATAGCAGGCTCATCAGAGAATATTACTGGAGTTTTCTTGAAGGTGTGGGTAGCTTGACTATTTTTTGCTGCATTTGTTTTCAAACAAAGTGAGGACACAAATTGTCATCCTTGAAAATGTGTGGTCCAAATGTGACCAAATGTCACTCGGAGAAGCTTCTCCTGCAGGGAATCATGTTCTTAATTTTGCTGTGCTATTTGCACCTTCATGTGTAGTATTTCCCTCAGCCCCCAATTTTAAGAGCTGATTATAGATTACATAAATCTTTTATATTATTCATCATAGCAATTCTTATTACCACAAAATCCTTTTCATTACATGTTATTTTGATTGATCTTTATAAAGTTCCTACTCATGTTCCCAGAGGGCACACATTGTGCATACCCAGCATAAACCTTTTTCACAGTTAATTGAGGCATTCAACCCATTTTGCTGCCTGAGAGAGATATGTACACCAGGCATTAGAAAGGTCTATCTCTATTATCAAGACATCTGGTATTTTAAACATTTGGCTGTTTACATATTATTTTTCTTTTTAGGATTTGGCAAAACAAAATCTTACTGCCTCACTGGTGAGCTTAACCTTGTCTAAGTATAACTAGAAAAATGTTCTTCCAGTTACTGTTCTACAGCATCTCTTGTTCAGTGGCTGTGATAGAAAACCAGGCACTTCAGGTTATGCTATCTAATTTGTGTGATTCTAGTTAAAAACATTTAATCCCTTGAGTTACCCTCTCTGAGGACAACAATACGTATTTTGCAGCAGATTTATGCATGTCCTCTATTTCTGTGCAGATTTTTATTGGAGAACTAAACTAAGTAGCCTTTCTTTGCTTTAAATCACAGACCCAATTTCTCTCATTGCCTCAGTACTCCAGGAAAGAATGAGTGTTGCTGTAGCTAATGGGCCAAGCTGGGAGGGTAAGTTTTCTTTAAATTAGTTCTTATAGCAGGGGAAGCAAAAATGAGTATTTGAATCCATAGGATTGGCCTTGCACAAGGCATCCATAGTCAACTCTCCACTCAGTCCCTCCTGATGGTTTGGATGTTTAAATAGCAGTAGGAAGCTGATTTACTTTGTGGTGTATCAGTAGGGCAGTACCTGGCTTCCAAGCTGGATGGTTGGATGCATGGAGGGACCCGATGCTCTGCCTGTCAGACAATTAGCAGCAATTGCCATGAAAAGTTAGCTCAACATGATCCCAATGCATCCCTAACAGAAGGAATCCTGGTTCTCAAGGCAGTAACAAGCAGGGTGAAAAGTGAGTCAAGCGACTAGAAAGAGGGAAGTCTGGGGAAATGAGGGATAAGAAACAGCATCCAAGAAGAGCTGTTGACTTCAAGGTGATCCCAAACCAGCCTGAAGGTTCTGCATGGAAAAATTCTCCTTCAACATTCCCTCCAAGCCTCTTTAAAAATTGAGTCAACCTCATAAAAAGAATGAGTTGGCTTTGACAGCAATAAGTTCACTGTTCAATCGATTCTGAGCTTCTGGCAGGCATCAAGTCTTCATTGTAACAAGGACTCTAGGGGCCAAAACCAAAAGTTCTTTTGCAGTTGCTTGTGTCTGGAACACCTTAAGAATAAAAAATACTAGACTTGGCTTAAAATGCCATAACACAAACCATGGAACTACCATTTTTAATTCCCTTCCTCATGTCTCTCGCTAAGGTGCTTCTGCAGAGTTTGCTGAGATGCAGAAGGAGGTTATTGTGGTGAGAGAACTGTAGAATTGCAAGGCATACTTGTAGGAAGGCAGGCTTTTTGAATTTCATTGCTCATCATTTTATTCTTTTAGTTTGGGGTTGTTGGACTTTTTTCCCAGTAATTAATAGATTCTAGACATACATGCATTGCTGGGAAGAAACTTTATGATTAGATGTATCTGCAAGCAAACAATGTTCCTGGGAATGAGTGGGTGAGTAAGGTGGGCTCTTTCTTTCTCTGTACTCTTTAATATCCACTAACTTAGGGGTCTGAGAAAACAGTGCCATGTCTACCATCAAACATCTCTTCTATAGACAGGTAGAAACCTGGTCACTTTTGTGGTTGTCATGCCTGGCCAGGCTCAGTGTGGTTGAGGTTGGTTGGTTTGGGTTTTTTTGCAGTAGCAGTGTTTGTTGTTCAGTTTTTTGTTGTTTGGGTTTTTTTAATTGAAACAAGACATGCTGCACAATAAATTATCTAAATGTTTTGAGGTCTATTTTTCACGTTTCTCCTTCAAATTGTCCATTCCTTGCCTGGGACAGATTTTACAGAGCAGTGATTTCAGTTTCCTGATAGTTCTCAAGTTGAACGTGTCAATCTGGAAAACATGAACCATGGTGTGGCATCACAGCCAGTCATACAGCCAGGGCAATGAAAACCTAATGTGGCAGATGCTACTGGGTTAAAAAAAATCCTTTGATCTAAGTATTACTCAATAGAAGTGGCTTTGATATCATGCCATTGAGCTCTGGGTAGGTAGATGCTAACGACAGAACGCTCACGAATAACACACTTGAAAGTGTGATCTCTTTCTTGGCTACCTGCATACATAAAAACCCTCAAATTCAATTAAAGCATTCATGCCTTGTTGACTTGATCACTCAAGGATGTATGAGCACTCTGCATCTCCAAACTGGATTTAATATTAGCATCTTTAAACAATTCAAGTGCATTATTTAGTTAATGTGATAAGCAAAATCCCTTTGAGGTTCTGCTCCTGATGTTATTGTTCAGCAGTAATTTAAGGCAGAGGTAGCATCTGAAGAGGTTCTGGGAGCAGTTGGGGGGGTATGAAAGACAGCCTGCCCTGCTCCTTTGGAACTGGAGCTGCTGCTTGCCTGGAGGGAAGTGAGGAGAAAATCACAGCTTCTGAGTTCTATAAAATAAAATGCATTTTGGCATTTGCATGGGGCATACCAGCATCTTCCACTAATAGCATGCTTGAGAAATCTGACTTTCACTGCTGTTGCAATCTTGCACCTGCAGCCCTGAGAAAATAATACTCAACCTGCCAAGTGTTTGCTGTCTGTGGTGATAATGGAGAAATACATAATTGGCTTAACTTGAGAGCAACCTGCAGTGCTACCCCATGCCAGCAGCCTGGTGAAACACTGCAGAGATGAACATGTGTAAAGTGCATCTGCCTGTCTTCTGTAGCTGCCAGCAAAGGGTGTTTATTACAAGGCAGCACTGGTCCTCACTGATGTCTGGGTAACCGTTAAAGGCCAGCAAAAAGGTACTATTTGCTGCCCAACCCCTAACCAGGGGAGCAGGGCTTGGAGCTGTTGCTTACAAACAGGATTGTTGTGTAGGTCTTGTAGATCTATACAGGTATACACATGGATGTGGGAAGTGTGTTGATGTATGTCCCAGCACAATGGGGGGCAGGGGGGGGAAGACTTAAGAAAGGGAAAGATCTTTCCTTTCCTTCTTAAAATGTGCCATATTCTCTTATGAAACACAGAAGAGGCATAGACAGAAAGCATCTGCATTGGCACGTTTACTGAGAAAATCCCAAATGCAAAAATCAACTGGTATCACAGATTTAAAAAATATATGTGAGATGTTGCTGGGGTTAGCAGCACAGTGCAAAGTTGTTCAGGGGCAGAATAAACTCCTGGGAGAATTACTGTGAAGTAAAAGGAAATAAACCCGTAGGTTACAGTTCAGTGCAGGAATTGCATGTTTCAAAACACACACACACACAAACGGCAAGCCAGAGAGGGAGGAAGAGGAGAAGGAGAAATAGAGGGAGAGGTTGAGAAGCAGAGGGAGTGTGAGCATGGGGGGAGGAGGGGAGAAGAGGGAAATGTGCTGTACGCTGAGCTGAGCAGCAGGAAGGAAAGCTTCAAACAGGATTTCTCAGCTCTAGATGTGTGCCAGCTGTTGGCAGGCACACCAGCAGGTATCCGAGGGGTGCCTCCAAGGATGTGGACTAAGGGCGAGTCGGAGGGACTCCAGACTTTAGGGATTGTGGTGGTGGTGTGTTCCTCTCTGAAACTTTTGCACTACCTCGGGCTAATTGACTTGTCAGATGGTAAGAGAACTTTCAAGTTTTCCAGCTCCTGTTTACTTTTGTTTAAATCTGTTTCAGTAAAGCTACTGTAGGTAGCAGGCTGTGGGAAGGAAAGCATTTACTGTCAGTGCTCTGATTCTTAATATTGTCTTCATCTCTGTGAATAGGGCTACAGAGAGTGAATTCTGCTTTATCGTGAACTTGTGTTTGCTTTTGGTGTGTTACTATAGCCAGAGGGAATCTGCAGCTGTTATTTTTTGCCTTGGTGTTTCACCAGTTTTTCTTAATTTTCCTTATTGTTAATTTTGTATCTCTTGAAAATGGACTAGTACAGAGCTGGAAATAGGAAAGCCTCTCTTGGAATAATGGAAGCACAGCAGATAATTAGGTGCATGATTTCACATGGAAATCGGAAACAATTCTGTTGTGACGCGCAGATAAAATACATGATGGAATGAATGTGAATAAAGCAAAACTTCTCTGTATTTGCTATTCCAGTAAAAGGAACACTTCAGCAAAGTACAAGTAAAACAACAGAGAGAAATATTTCTGTTTTCAGACTGACCTGGAAGAATTGGTCTCTCTCAATCTTACCAATGTAGTGAACTTTTTCTCTTAAAGGTTTTCATGGCTGAGTAAAGCATACTTGCTTTAACAATTAAATGAGCTTTGAGGATCATATTATCTATTCATAAAGTGATGTAGGTATCACTGCATTTTGAAATAAAATAACTTCTTGATTAGGTAAATTAGGGTGGGGTTTTTTGTTTTGTTGTTTGTGGTTTTTAAGAAAAGGGACCCCCAGGTCACTGTTTTCTTGCTTTGATTACTAACTGTGTTAAGGGAAAAGAAAGCAAAGAAAACAGTAATGAGAAAATATTAACATAAACACTTTTTGTTACTCTGTTCAGATATTATCTTTAAGATATTGGTTAGCCAAGTGTGACAAAATATTGAATAAAGTAGAGGAAATGTAGATATTTGGTATGTTTTACTGGATAATGTTAAAAAAAAGCAGATGGAATTTTAACATTTCTGCTGTAAAATCATTGCTGTCTCAATCCTAGAAATCCACCTGTGGGATTGGGAACAAATATAAAAAATGGCCTAAATAAAAGTTATTTTATTTAGACTAAGAGAAGATGTAAACTGGCCTGTCTTAGTTACATAACATTGATATTCCTTACTACAAAATTAATATCACGGGAGCTCTTACTCCTAGAATGTCACTGGAGTTTAAGTATATAATTGCAAATAAATTAAGATCTCTGACAACTAATTTTTAGTAATGACAACAGAAGTACTCACCTTAAAAATAAGCTGTCAAGTCAGCTGCTGAGGCAATTGCACTGCTACCTGTTTAACTGCAAAAACACTTCTATACCTTCTTTCCAGACCTAATTACTGTAAATCCTGTGTCTGCTCTTTTCAGAGCAGTTGCTTGGCTAAGGAGAGTCTCTTCAGTGCTTCCCCAGCAAAGTCAAATATGAGACAGTTGACAAAGTTGTCTGTTCAGAGGTGAAATGAGCAAAAGTGGGCAAACAGTCCCATCTTGTATTCACTGGACAGCTCTGCCTGCGTTTCGGTTGCAGGCATCAGTCAGTAATCACTCAAGACGTACAAGTGTAGAAGGATACAGAGTTTTCTTTTAATTCTTTGTGAAGTAACTCTGTCAAAATGACAGGTACATAGTTCCTGATTGCTGATGGGCTACCTGGCAGTGTACAGGAGCGTGACACTATGAACCTTTTAGATATTTCTTTTCCTTGGATTTTTTTTTTCTTTCTGCTGCGAAATAGTTAAATTGGAGACCAAGATGTGTATACACTAGGACTCACAGAATTGTATGAGCCTGGGATTTCTTTTCTGACTCTATACCTGTGCTAAGAATTACTTATATATGTAAATAATAACATTAATGGAGTGCAATGCAGTTTTCAATCACTTGGAAATCTTTAAAGGTGGTATTAAACTGTTTACTTTGGTGTGCTTCTTGGCAGTGATAGGAAGGTGCAGTGGTGCTTATGTTGCAACATAAATATTTCTAGCATCTTTATATGCACTAGAAATGATAATTGATTTTATTTATAACCATCTAGAAATTGCAGGTGCTTTCTCCTGACTGAGTGAAATGACACTAAAATAAGATCCTGAAATTCTTAGTCTTTTTTAGAACTGTAACTACTCAGTCTCCTGTAGATGGAACAGGCTTATTTAAACATTGTTTCTTTGTTCAAAGAAAAACAAAACAAAACAAACCCAAACCTGAATGCTGATTCTTCATTAGTCCAACACAAGAAGAAATAATTGTGGAAGGGAAATAGTGTAGACAGTAACTTGGAAAATGTGGAATTTTGGAATTTGTTGCAGCTAAAGTTATGTTTGCTCAGTTGCACCTTCTCTGTTACGTTCCAGAGGCGATGTTGTCCTCTTGCTGTTAGTTCATTCAAGTGTTTGAGAGGAAATGACTGAAACCAGATACATTTGTGGCAGCTTTAATCTCTTATTATAACCTAAAGCTGTTATGCATTTTTAAATAAAAGATTAAACTAATAGGAAAGAATCTATTTTCCTCTAGTGTCTTTTGTTCTACCTGAGATGCAGGTGGAGCAAGTCAATGTGAATTAATCCCCTATAACTCCAGTAAGATCAGACCTTTGGCAGTTGCACTTTGTTTTCTGAATTCTTCACTCAAGTGTTCTTACTCCTTAAAACAAAGGTGGGGGGGGGTGGATTGGGAGAGGGTTGTGTCTAGACAGTCTTAAGAGGCAAAATGTGCTTGACTAAATAGAAAAGTTTTGAAAGGTGGGGGGGGGTGGATTGGGAGAGGGTTGTGTCTAGACAGTCTTAAGAGGCAAAATGTGCTTGACTAAATAGAAAAGTTTTGCAAAGCATGGGGCATTTTTTGTGACCCTGCTAGTTAGAAATGTTGATGGCTTGTTGCTTTATGCTTCTCTCACTGTCCCATCCCTTGGGATCTCGTGTTTGTTGCTGTGTCCTTGCTGCCCTTCTGAGCTTTGGCAGAGCTGCTGCAGTCTCCTTAGGTTAGTTCCCAGCTCCTGAAGCTCCACACAACCACACCCACAAGAGTAGGGTAAGAGTTGAAGATCTGTTTTCTTTAGTGTAATAACACAATCACAGTCATTTGTATTACTTACCACTTCATGAAACATCTGGTGAAACCTTGTACTAACTTATGGTTGGAGACCAAAAACCTGCTCTGTGAAGTGAGAGTAAATTCCAACTGTACATTTGGGGGTTTTCTTTGTTTGACTTTCACTAAATTTCTTTGCAGAACTTCTCTCCATCCTCCAGGTATCCTTGAAGTATTCATAAATCATATTTCTTCGAATTAGAGGGATCCAGAGGAAATATGAATTGTACTTTTGGACTAGTTCAGTATTGATTTCCAGGTACAAAACTTGGAAAATAAGTAGAGTAAAATATGCCTTCAACTCTATTGTCTGTGATTTTTAATGCAGGAAATCCTGCTTTCCTTAGTTGTGGTTGCTTATTTTATGACAGATGAGAAGCAGGTGCTCAAATATTTTTCTTCATTGAATAAACAAATGTAGAAATAAGCCATCTCAGATGCTTCAGAGGTTATTACTGTATGTGTCTTCATAATTCAACAGTATGTCAAAATATATTGCCATCTGCTAGATCTTGGTTGCCACTGAGAGAAGTAATTTTAATGTGATTGCCAATAGAGATGGGGTCTTAAAGGCAGTCCCTGTAATGTCACTAGAGTAAGTGCTTCCAAGTCTTTCTCAGTGCATCAGTTTTCTTGTGGTGTGGCCAGTCCATGATGTTACATGGAGAGAGGAGATAAACATGTACTGTTGTCTTGAGTAACCTCTAAGGTAGATCAAGGTTTTGGGCCAAAGTTCTTGGTGCAGCTATTAAATTGCTGCATCTCCACTAGATCCCAAGTTTCTCATGTGGTGTGGCCAGTCCATGATGTTACATGGAGAGAGGAGATAAACATGTACTGTTGTCTTGAGTAACCTCTAAGGTAGATCAAGGTTTTGGGCCAAAGTTCTTGGTGCAGCTATTCAATTGCTGCATCTCCACTAGATCCCAAGTTTCTCATGGGATGTTTGTCTGAGTTTATGCAATTATTTACTGCTCAGCTGGAAACAGACTCTGGCTCTGAGATAAGGACAGTAAAAATATATTTCAAAAAACCCCAAACACACAACAACCATGTGATGTACTGTCAATCTTAGAACCTCAGGTGTTTTTTTGGCCAGGGACCTAGCATGGTAACATGTTCCTATGACCCCCTTTGCATAAATGTACCACACTTTCAGATGTTCAGCCCATTTAGATGGATTAGTAGCCTGAAAGGCAAAATCCCTCACTACTAAGGGAAGTAGTCAAAAGATTATGTCTAAACTAGTGTTACTGCTTAGTCGTAACACTTCTGAGCATGGTTCTGTTTCATGAGGAGATTGTTCATATCCATGTGGTAAAATGACATTGTAAATCTATATCCATGAGGGGACAAAGCCAAAATTAACTTCAGGGTTCCTGTTTTCTGATGTCTTGCCTGTGTTCCCCTCACATAGGGTTTTGTTCATGTAAATATGGGGAAGTCCATTTCTATGCATTTATGATATATTCCTATTTAGCTTTTTTAATCTATTCCAACTAATTATTACAAGTTTCATGTAAGGAAATCTCTGAATTTGTTACAGCACTTCCAGCTTTCAGGGTTTCCTCTCTCATGTGACTAGATGACCCCTAGACTTCAGCACACAGTTTGTTGCAGAAAGCTCCTGAAGATTGGTAGTTTTGATACAGTTTGAGCTGTTGGCTTGCAATTGGGGATGAAGTGAATTTTGTTTGCTGCATGTCATCATTGCAATTTCCCAGGCCTGGGGGCATTTGCTAGTGCTTAAAGAGACTCTCTTGATCAGCTTCTGAAATTGTGGCTTTTCTCTCAGCTTCAGCTCTGCTAAGGAGTGGGAGATGTTTTGACACTGTGGATTACTTGCAGTTATTCCACTCTCTGAGGAAATTAGAGTTGTTCACGGCATTGCTGTCTTAGGACAGAAGTTTTCAGTGTCCAGCACTCTTTCTGACAGAAAATTCAAGCCTTTTACCTAGAAGGGTTTTCTTTTTCAGCAGCAGAGATCGTGCCTCAGCCCTCTGGATCTGTGGAGTGATTCAGTTAGCCGTAATTACTCATGACTGTGTTTAGAGCAGAGCATATTGCACTGCTTTGCTGTTTATACTTCCATGTGTATCATAGTTGCTCTACTACTAACTTACGAAACAGTAATTTCATACTCATTTATGTTCATCATTATAGTAAAGCTTCTCACATTTCACAGCTCTGTCCTGTGTTCCCTTGTGACTGCATAAAACTACCTTGTTGTTTGTACACCTGCATACCTTTATTTTTCTTGTAGCTCACCAATTTACCTCTGTTCTTCACACCACACTTTGCTGGCTTTAAGGCTGTATCTAGATACAGACTATTTCTATTGCTACTGCAGCTGCTGTTCCACCTCCTTCTGCACTCGTGTAGGATTTTGTCCCTTAACAGCCTCACAGTGTGTCAGGGCTGTGGAGCTCTCATGCCCCGTGTTCCTAGGACAGCACAGTACAGCCCTTGAAGGAGTAAAGCTGTGTTGGCTGGCTCTGTTAATTTGAAATGCCACCCCATCTTTTGCACTTGCTCATGTTCCTCTCTCTGCTTTTTACCAAAAGATTATAAATGTCACTGTCTTACAGAACCTATGACCAGACCTGAAGTCCTGTTCTTTTAGTCTCTCTGCCCTGGGGCAATCTCATCCTCCCAGCTCAGTACTAAACCTATTCTTTTTGCTCACTTGAGCTCCTGTGTTTAAGCAAGACTAACATGTACACTTTCTTGAACATTTCCTTTATCTTGAGCCCATAGATTTGTGCAGAAGCTCCCTGTTAAGTCTGTAGTGTCACTTTGCTTACTTTGCTCTGTGCGTTTCTGCTTAAGCAATCACAACCTTGTTTATATTTTATTATTTATTATTAAGAGGTAGAACTAATGCATTTCCCCTTTTTCTAGCTCTGTTAACGTTCACATTATCTCTCTGTCACTCTACATGGAACATTAAAGTTCTCAGAAGTGGAAAGTGGTAGATCGTGTCTCTAAACCATATCAGCAGACACTGATCTTTGTAAAAAAAGGTTATTGAAGCCATTGCCAAAAATTATAACATTTCTACAAACTGAGTCAAGTTTTCACAGTTCCCAAGTGACAGCATTGAGTTTTCTGTCTCTTCTAAAGGGGAAGAGAGAGCAGAACAATGAAATGTGAGACTGATCCTGAATTAGAAGCTAGAAGCTTCTTCCTTTTGCACTACTTTATGCAGAAAACTGCTTAGGAAACAGCCATTCAGTAAAAACGTCTTTCTTTGGGGATATGAATGCTCTAGCTTTTCATTGGTTTGGGGGAAAAAATCTCTTATGGGAATAGTATGTAAATGCTTCATAAAATCATAGGCAAAATAGATATGGAAGCTGAAGAGGTTTCCTAGTCCATCCTCCTGTCCCAGGCAGGGTTGTACCTGTTTGTGTCAGCATGGCAAGCTCATTACTAGCGTTATTTTGTCTTCAGTCTGCCAAGATTATTTCTTTTACCTTTGTTCAAGCCTTGTGAGGAGTGTGATGTGCTTCGAGGTTCCTCTGTGCTAGTCTAAATAACTAATCCTTTTAGTCTTTACTAATTATGTGGTTTAGCCTCTGATTATGTTAATTGTTCTTCCCTGAAGTGTTTGCTGTAAATGCACATCTTTCTTGAAGCTTTGACCTAACTGCCCCTGAGCACATCAAAAGGGTTATTTCACATGACTGGCAAAATGCATTCCTGTTTGTACTTCTGGCAAAGTGCTTGTTGTCTTACAACAGAAATTGCAGCAATATGAGACCAGTCACTTATATTCAGCTTCTGACCCGCAGTAGTGCACAGACCTCCAGCCTGACCAGCTGTGTTTGTGTGCATTATTCTGTTGTTCAACTTCTAGCCCTTTGCTTTTGTCTTTACTGAATTTTAACTAGTAACCTTCAGGCCTTTTCTCATATTTATGAAGGTCTTCCTGCAGTCCTTTCCAACAGGGTGTTACCTGGTCTGTTTGATCATCCAACTTGGTAATAAATACATTGACCGTTATTAGACCCAGGGAGGAATTCAGTGGAGTCCTGCGTGATTTCTGCTGTTGCTTTGATGCTTTCTGTTTCTCTCCTCCACCTGAGGCTGCTCTCTATCCCTTCAGTTTTATTCTGTTGCAGTTTTGACAAGTCAATGGCCCACACTTGTAAGCACAGATCATTGGTTGTTTCAGTATTTCTTGAGAACTAAAGTGAAAAGCAAAGTATTATTCGGCCCTGTAATCAATCCTTTCTCCTCCATTAGCTGTATGTACCTGCCAGGGTAAAACAGCAGATCTTGCCTTTGGTCTCCCAGTTTCCTGAAGTTAGGAAAAACAGTGATAACCAGTTCTGGGAAGCCAGGAAGGAAAGCAGGATGAGAATGTGATGGGAGACATTTCGCACAGCCCTGTGTTTTGGATTGTCTTTGAGGACTGACTGAGAGACTTTTCTTCCCCTTCCCTTTGTGTGTGGTGCCAAGAGGTGGTGCAGTGTCACCTCCCCACAGGCATCACATGGCAGTGCAGGAGCAGCTGGGCAGGACCCCCTGGTTTGGGTCGATCACAGCAAGGTCTTAATGCTGTGTAAGAAGTTTGAAAGCAGGGGA